AGTTCATTATAGATTTCGATTTCAATGTATGCTAGATTAGGGTTTTCAAGTCTTGGATGAATTGCATGTACAATAGAGAAGCCTAGATCGAAGCTTTAGGGTTTTGTATGAGCACATAGGATTGTTCTTTTGTATAAAACCCATCAGGCTCAGCAGGTGTTTCCTCCTCAGTTTGATCGCTAGTGTTTGAGGTTCCTTCACCGCTTGACTCTTGAAGCTCTTCAAGGTCAATTTGCCTCCCACTGTCTCCTTGGCCTATGATTTATCTCTCGCAAAAGACTCCTGTCCTCGCAACGAAGACAACATTGTCACTCGGTCTGTAGAAGATATAACCAAAGGATTTCAGTGGGTAGCCGATGAAAATACACCGCACGAGTTCGATCTTGTCGTGAGTCATGCGTCTCACGAAAGCCTCGCAACCCCAAACCTTGATGTGTGCTAACGAGGGAACTTTCCCTGTCCACATCTCGTGAGGTGTTTTGGCAACCTTCTTAGTTGGGACTAGATTAAGGATATGGGTGGCAGTCTCTAAGGCATACCCCATAATGAGATACGTAACGAAGCTCGACTCATCATGGAACGAACCATGTCCAACAGGGTTCGATTGCGCCTCTCAGCCACACCATCAAGTTGTGGTGTCCTAGGTGGCGTCAACTGTGAAACAATTCCACATTCCTTAAGATAGTCAAGGAACTCGATACTAAGATACTCACCACCCCGATCGGATCAGAGCATCTTTATCTTCCTACCCAACTGATTCTCTACTTCTTGTTTAAACTCTTTCAATCTTTCAAAGGTTTCCAACTTATGTTTGATTAAGTAGACATATCCATATCTATTGTAATCATCAGTAAAAGTCACATAGAAGCGGTTAGCATCCCTTGTGGCGGTTCTGAAGGGCCTACACACATCGGTGTGTATGAGATCCAACAAACCTTCACCCCTTTCACAAGTACCAGTGAAGTGTGACTTGGTCATATTTCCAAGTAAACAAGATTTGCAAGTGTCATTCGACCTTAAGTCGAATGACTCCAAGACTCCAGCCTTTTGGAGTTGGCCTATGCGCTTCTTGCTGACGTGTCCAAGACGACAATGCCACAAGCATGCCTTATCCAATTCATTGAAAGAATCAATGTGCAACACATTATTTCCTAAGTTGTCTACAACCATCACAGTTTCATATACACCATTACAAGGCAATGCTTTAAAATAAAAAACACCATTATAAAAAGCATTAATAGCACCATTTCATTATCAAATGAAAAACTAAAACCTTGTTTGTACAAACAATGAAAGGAAATAATATTTCTTGCCATTTCAGACGAGTAGCAATAATTATTTAAATCTAATTCTAACCCACTACTAAGCAATAAAGAATAAACTCCAATCTTGGTGACAAGTGAAACATTCCTATTCCCCATGATCAAGTTTATCTTTCCGTGCTCCACATCCTTACTTCTTTTTAAGCCCTACACATCAGAACAAATGTGAAATCCACAACTTATATCAAGGACCCAAGAACAAGAATGTGATGAGTTATTAGATAGAATAGTATAAATACCTGCATGGGTGGCCTTAACCTTCCCATCTTTGACATCCTGCAAGTATTTGGGGTAGCTTCGCTTCCAGTGCCCTTTCTCATGACAATAGAAACACTCTGCTTCCTTAGGAATGGTAGAGGGAGTAGCAGAACCAGCCTTGGTCCCACTTGAAGAGGATCTATCAAGAGACTTTCCCTTGCGGCTCTTAGAGGGAGCCTTCCTCTTCTTCACCTTCCCATGTCCGATTGCCAAGACAGGGGTAGTAGCAGTAGGAGTAGAAACAACACTTTTACCTTCGAGACTACTTTCAGCAGTCCTCAAAAGGCCCTGAAGCTTGCTAAGAGTGACCTCCTCCTTGTTCATATGATTGGTAATTCGGAACTGATCATAACATGGAGGTAAGGAGTGTAGAATGATATCTATTGCCAACTCCTCATCGAAGTTCACATTTAACTTTAGCAACCGGTCCACAAACCTTTGCATTTTCTGCAAGTGGCCCATGATGGGTTCACCATCCTTCATCTTAGTTGTTATCATGGAGGCGATTATTTCATACCTCTCTTGACGAGCACTCTGATGGTATCTTTCCATCAGGTCTTGGTGCATCTCAAAAGGGTAGAAGTCCGCATAGGACTTTTGGAGTTCAGCTGTCATGGTGGCCAACATGATACAAGACACCTTGGTGGCATCCTTTTTATGAGTCCTAAACTCAGCAATCTCCTCAGGAGTAGCAGAAGACTCATCGATTTACTTAAGCTCCTTGTCGAGGACATATTCCTTGTCCTCATAGCGAGTGACCATCCTGATGTTCCTAATCCAGACATTGAAGTTGGAACCATCAAAGATGACTCTCCCACACAGGTTCATGAGAGAGAAGGAGCCAGTAGGGTTTGAGCCAAAAGCAGTGTTGGAAGACATCTGAAAAAGAAAGACAAAGTTTAGATTAGATAAGTCCTTAATATAATACCCAAAATGAAATATTAAGGCTAGGACCCAACACAATATTTTACAAATTGGAAGAGGGATGCCGTAATCCAACTTTCAAAATATTTGAAGGTAGGTAAATGACGATTTACCAATTTCCACCATGAAAAAAGAAATTGTTTATTAAGTTTTAATTGGATTGAAACTCCTAGATTCTTTTGAGATTCATTGAAATTTTCAATGGCATGTTTAAATCTCGATTATGCCCTTCAAGTTTGTGACTGGGATATTGAGGATCACAAACAAGGTGTGAATAACCATGCAAATTAACTTGGTACACTTGATGTCATTTATCACCTAATCGATGTGTCGGTTAACCACACACGCTCCATCGATCTATGACAAAGTCCAAGTTAATGTGTCGGTTAACCACACACGCTCCATTAACAACTTGGCAAGGTGCAAAGTGCAATTTCATGGATAAGCATCAATTTCACATTTTTCCTAAAGTAACTAAGATTGGGAAATTAATAAAACATTTAGTTACTTTATAATTTTCATTGTACTTTTAACGAGAATTAATGTTCTATCCTACCCGTTCGGCTAAAGACCCTCTACCAGTCAAGGAAGCGGTGGGTGAGAGTGAACACCCATTAAACCACCATTTTATAGGCGGTAACCTTATACCCTCCTTATAGACCGGCTTCGTGAATGAGGCCTACTAACGGTAAGACTGACTTGTCTTATACATATATATATATATATATATATATATATATATATATATATATATATATAATTATTAAACTTATAATAATATAATAGTATAAGGGTTGAATTTTAAAGTTTTAAAATTGTAGGGTTTGGAATTAAAGTATTCATAAGCGTGACTTTACAAATTCCAAAACTTGAGGACAAGTTTTGAAACTATTCAAAACTTTTCATTTCCATAACTTATGAGTTTAATGACTTTTAAAGAAAAGACTTTTGGTTTTCCATAACTTGAGGACAAGTTATGGATTCCATTAAAAACATTTAAATCATTATTTTAATTAACACAATAATCAAATAGTACATACATGATCTAGTTAAACTCATAAGAACAAGATAATTCATATCATCAATCTTCAAGAAATTAGTCTAATCATATAAACAAATACAAATCTTGAAATTATGACAATTATCTTTTAATTGGACAAGCATGAACATTACCTAATAAAAAAACAGATTTCATGGTTCAAAAAGCAGTTTGGGGTAATGATCCTAATCCAATTTCTGGCCAAAACTCAAAAATCTGCACACAGGAGCACCAACTCGGCGAGTACATGAACTGGACTCGTCGAGTTGGTCTGTTTCTGAGTGGACTCGTCGAGTCACCCAATGGACTCAGCGAGTTCACTAGTCAGAATGCAGAAATTCGATTTTTCTAACTTTGAAAACCAATAAACATCAAGTATATTAGAAAACAATCCTAGGCTCTGATACCACTAATGGGTTTTGAGCACTCTAACAACCTTCAGGTGTACATACAACCCTAAATGCTTTAGATCTATGTTTTCTCTAATTACACATGCAATTTGATATTCCAAAACATTATCCTAACTAGCATACAAAACATAGGTACTTGTATAATAAAAACTAGTTAGATGACATACCTTTTCTTGTAGCTTCTTAACATGGACGTTTAAGAGCCTAGCACCCCAAATGTGATGCATCAAATGCTTCATACAACACCACCAACAATGGAGGACTTGAGAGAGAATAACTTGCACACAAAATCGACTATGCTCTTCCAAAGATCACTAGTGACCGATTTCATGAGCTAAGGGACTCTTTTTATAGTGTGGCAAGGATTAGGGTTACATCCATGCAAACCCTAATGTGCATGACCTTTCATCTTACTTAGGCTTCATGGGTTAAACCTCCATGGACTATCCATGGACTACAATGTTGGTTTAGCCCAACCTAAATAACCATTGGCCCACACTATAAGAATCATTGATGTACCAAATCAACCCCTTACATTTAATTTGTGTCTTTTGATCACTAAATTAATTCTTGATCAATACTAATTAAATAATATGATTTCATATTAATATATTAGAACTTATAATATATTAATAAATCACAAATAACCTCTTCTCAAAAGTCCATCCTTAAAAATTGTTCTGGTGAAATGCAACTGAAATGGACCATGCTACTCTCGGGTCAAGTACATACCAATTATAGTTATGGACTTAGACACCTTATCCAACAACCCTGCCACATCATCCCCATTTGACACATCATCGATGACATGGAAAAATCATAATTATGTCCAACGACCCAAATAATGTCGTCTGGAATGTAAATCATAGAGGGCATGTATGTACTATTCCACCCACCTCTTTATAAAAGTAGCAGATCGTGCCCTAAAACGGAACAATTCGAAACTCAGTTACCCTTGCTGCACCCTTAACTTCAATCCTAATCGGCAAAACCGTTCCTTCACAATCATCTCCAAATCACACCTGGTCACCTAAATATAGTCGGCACATGGCCGATAATGTCTCCAACGGAGTCACTTATGAAGACATGGCGATCAATCTACTCCGGACACAGTTGGAGCTATCACTTGTAAGGGAGGAGATTGCAAACGACATTCGTGAACTACGATGTAGCGTCACTAGAGACTTGGACGCCCTAAACCATGAAGTCGATTATGTTAGGGCAGGTCAGCTCGATCTGACTAACATGGTTGCTAATTTGAAGAACCATTTATGTTCACTACAAGCATCATATGTAAACATCGTCTTGGGTAAAAACAAGTGCAACAAAGTCAAATGGGTTTTTGGGGTTTTTGATGCCGCTGTTGTGGGGGTGTTAACCTACAAGTTCTTAAAATGACTGAAGAACTTTGGGTTACAACATTTCTGTCGTGGGTTTGTATTTTATTATGATGTGCATCTGGTTTATTTTCCTTATTAGTAAGGTGTTTTGTTTCTTGTCTTTTTGTTTCTGGTGATAGTAGTTAGTGGTCGTGGTTGGTGTTTTTATGATCATGTTGTTGTGAAGATCATTTTTTCATGGTAATCAAAGGTGATGGTAGTCGTATGTAGTAAGATGCAGGTACAAATCCTGTTTTAACCTGTCTAATGGATGTAAAGATGTAACACAAACCCATGAATGAAATGTTGGTAAAGTTAAAATATTGTTGTTATAGCTCTGAATATGCATGTAATTTGTATAGAAACAAACCATCAATCATATATGTGATTAAGTAATACCTAGATTCGTTGATGTTCTTTTTGGGACAACATGACAAAGGCAAACTCTTTTAAACAAACAAAACATGGTCACAATGTTTCTGTTGGGGACAAGGGACAAAATAGAAGAATCTAATACATGATGCATCTTTTGATGCGTTTTGAGCATAACAACATCCTATGTGATCAGGCAATCCTAATTGCTTTGGATCTAAGTTTTACTCTAGTTATACATGCAAATAGAAATTCCAAAGAAACAACCTTAATACTAGCATACAATTTCAAAATCTATATGAAAACTAGGGTTAGAAGATTACATTGCTTGCTATCAAGTAATAACAAGAGTTCCTTGGATGATCTTGACTCTTGAAAGCTTTAGTGCCTCAAGTGTTGCACCTCTAATGGAGTCACAAACACCAATAGCAAAGGATGAATGAGAGAGGAGGTAAAACACTTCTGAAATCAGCTAGGGTTCTCCAAGAATGCATTGGCCGAAAATTATATGCTAGGGGGGTCTTTATATAGCTGAGGCTGCTAGGGTTTTCAGGTGGAAACCCTAATTTCCTTGCTTAGGCCTTAAGCAATCCATGGACCTCCACAATAGAAGCTTTGGATGAAATTATATAGGGCCTCCTATAGATTTCGTCCACTCCCTTCTAAAGGAGTCCATCAACCCAACTGTGCAACTATCATTGATTTGCAAAACCAGTCCCCGTACTTTCGATCAGTTCCTTTAATCCCAAATTTAATATCAAATTAGTTTCTGATTAAACACTAATTGAATAATATGATTTCTAATTAATATATTATTCTTATAATATATTAATAAATCATTTATTAACCTCTTTCTCCAAAAGTCATCCTGTCAAGTTGCTATGGTGAAGGCAACCCAAAAGGACTATGCTACTATCAAATCAAGTAAATACCAATAATAGTTATGGGCTTAGACACCTAATCCAACATTCTCCCACTTGGATAAGTCTAATAACTAAAATTTCAAGTATGAATTCATAATCTGATTAGCAATCGCAGCTTTCAAAAGCCGTTGTCGAACTCTGATCTAGTCAATGATGCGTCCTTTAGATAAGGGATCATATAATCCTCCGTTCTCCAAGATATCATGTGGACAAAGACATGGAACAGAATCATTCTCAATGTCCAACAGTTTGTTTCCCAATTTCAGATTTGTTTGAAAACGAACTTAATTGAACACATCAATTCAGTCATGATCGGGCCCGACACATAAGTCAACATAAAATCATCGAGGGGCTCAAGATATGGCTTTTACCCCTTGGGATAAAAGGAACAGATAAATTTTGACTTATATGCTTGTACTTTTTACTCATGAAATCGTACCCAACAATATGTTTTATAAAATCAAGTTACTGATGCGTTTACGCATTATCAATGCACAACCAACTCATAAACAACAACTCATATATCTCGGTTTAAAGATTATACGATATTATCGTCTCACAATTACTCGTGATAAATTCCATGAAGTAATTCAAATGAGCATGAGTTTAATCCAATACTCAAATCCTATTTCAGGATTACTCATGAACGTTGCAGCAAACGTTTTCTATGTCTAAGCACTTAGACAATCTACAAGCCAACTCATGACAGTCTTCATTCATTACTTACTTCCAAAGTATGATTGACTGTGGATAATTTAAACAATCCAATTATTCAGGAAGTAAAACATGCAAAAGCGAAACACAAAATAAGCAATTGACAAAAGATAGCAAACAATACTTATATATAAATCTCTATTATATAATCACCAAATGTCAATTACATTTATCTATTACAAGTTTTTACAAAATCTGTCTAATCACTAAAAATAATATCGTCCTTCAGACCAATGCTCATCGCATGCTGAACGTTCTTAATCCTACTCAGACCCTTTGTGAGAGGATCTGCAGGATTCTCTTCTGACGATACCCTCTTGACGACGAGGAGTCTTTCTTCTACCCGATGTTTGATGAAGTGGTATTTTGCGTCGATATGTCTGGATCTTCCATGATCCCTTGGTTCCTTGGTTAAGGCAACCGCTCCTTCATTATCGCAAAAAATATCCATGGGCTCCTTTATGGTTGGTACAATTCCAAGGTCTCCAATGAAGTTCTTCAACCATATAGCCTCCTTCGACGCTTCGCTCGCAACCATGTACTCTGATTCGCATGTTGAATCAGCCACAGTCTCCTGCTTGGAACTTTTCCAAGTTACTGCTCCTCCATTAAGGGTAAACACCCAGCCTGACTGAGAACGGAAGTTCTCTCGGTCGGTCTGAAAGCTGGCGTTATTATACCCTGTCACTCTCAAGTCATCACTTCCACCAAGTACAAGGACCTAATCCTTAATCCTTCGCAGATACTTAAGAATGTTCTTAACTACTATCCAGTGAGCTCTACCCAGGTTCCCTTGATATCGACTTACCATGCTCAACGCAAAAGCCACATCAGGGCGAGTACATGTCATAGCATACATGATCGAGCCAACGGCGGAAGCATATGGTACTCGACACATTTCCGCTATCTCTGCATCAGTACTCGGACTCTGAGTCTTACTCAGTTTGGTATTGCTCTGGATAGGTAACTCCCTTTTCTTGGAATTTTCCATGCTAAAACGCTTTAATACCTTGTCCAAGTAAGTGCTTTGACTAAGTCCAATTAGTCTTCTACTTCTATTTCTCAAAATCCTTCTCCCTAGAATATAAGCAGCTTCCCCTAGATCCTTCATAGCGAAACACTTCCCAAGCCAGGACTTAACCTCCTGCAAGGTTGGAACGTCGTTTCCTATGAGCATTATGTCATTGACATACAATACTAAAAAGCTAACTATACTTCCACTAGCTTTTACATATACACATGACTCATCCTCACTTCTAGAGAAACCAAACTCTTTGATTTTCTCATCGAAGCAAAGATTCCATCTGCGAGATGCTTGCTTCAATCCATAGATGGATTTCTCAAGCTTACACACTCTATTGGGGTATTTAGCATCCACAAAACCTTCTGGCTGACACATGTAAACATCTTCAACCAGCTTCCCATTAAGGAAAGCGGTTTTGACATCCATCTTTCAGATTTCATAATCATGAAATGCAGCGATTGCTAACATATCCCTAATAGACTTGATCTTGGCCACTGGTGAAAAGGTATCATCATAGTCAACCCCCTGGGTTTGAGTAAAGCCCTTCGCAACCAGCCTTGCCTTGAACGTGTTCATCTTTCAATCCATGTCGTTCTTCTTCTTGAAGATCCATTTGGACCCAACTGTCTTTCGACCTGGTACATTGTCAACCAAGTTCCAAACTTGATTGTCATACATGGACTGGATCTCGTTGTCCATTGCCTCTTTCCATTTTGCAGACTCAGGGCCCCTCATGGCTTCCTTGTAGTTATTAGGTTCATCCAAATTTATCAGTGTACTATCACTGATAAACGTATCACCTTCTGCAGTTAAATGGAAACCATATAATACAGGTGGAACACTAACTCTACTGGAACGTCTAAGAGGTAACGACTCATCAAATGGTTCAATAGGAATCTCTTCCTCAGGTTGAGTGCTAGTGTTAGAGGTTCCTTCACCGCTTGATTCTTGAATCTCTTCAAGATTAATTTTCCTCCCACTGTCCTCTTGGCATATGAGTTCCCTCTCGCGGAAAACTCCTCTCCTTGCTACAAAGACCACGTTATCACTAGGTTTGTAGAATAGATATCCAAAGGATTTTTGTGGGTAGCTGATGAAAATACACTGCTCACTTCGAGGTTCAAGCTTGTCGTGAGTCTATCGTCTTACAAAAGCTTCACAACCCCAAACCTTGATATGTGCCAATGAGGGAACCTTCCCTGTCCACATCTCGTGAGGTGTTTTGACAACCTTCTTAGATGGGACTAGATTAAGGATATGGGTGGCAGTCTCTAAGGCATACCCCCAGAATATGATTGGTAGCGAAGGTCGACTCATCATGGAATGAACCATGTCCAACAAGGTCCGATTACGCCTCTCAGCCACACCATTAAGTTGTGGTGCCCTAGGAGGTGTCAATTGTGAAACAATTCCACATTCCTTAAGATAGTCATGGAACTCGATACTAAGATACTCACCACCTCTATCAGATCTGAGCATCTTTATCTTCGTGCCCAATTGATTCACTACTTCTTGCTTAAACTCTTTGAACTTTTCAAAACTTTCCGACTTATGCTTGATTAAGTAGATATATCCATATCTACTATAATCATCAGTAAAAGTCGCATAGAAGCGATTAGCATCCCTTGTGGTGGATCTTAAGGGTCCACACATATCTGTATGTATGAGATCCAACAATCCCTCACCTCTTTCACAAGTACCAGTGAAAGGTGATTTACTCATCTTTCCAAGCAAATAAGACTCGCACGCGTCATCTTACCATAGATCAAATGACTCCAACACTCCATCCTTTTAGAGTTGGGTATGCGCTTCTTGTTGAAATGTCAAAGATGAAAATGCCACAAGCATGCCTTGTCTAAACCATTAGACGAATCAATATGCAATACATTATTTCCTAAGTTATCTACAACCATCACAGTTTCATATACACCATTACAAGGAAATGCTTCAAAATAAAAGTACCATTATAATAAGCATTTATAGAACCAATTTTATTATTAAATGAATATCTAAATCCTTGTCTGTACAAACCATGAAAAGAAATAATATTTCTCGTCATTTCTGACGGGTAGCAACAATCATTCAAATCTAAACCTAACCCACTACTAAGCACTAAAGAGTAAACTCAGATCTTGGTAACAGGAGACGACTTCCTATTGCCCATTATCAGGTTCATCTTCCCATGCTCCACATCCCTACTTCTTCTTAGCCCCTGCAAGTCAGAACAAATGTGAAAACCACATCCTGTATCAAGGACCCAAGAACTAGCATGTGATGAGTTTTTAGACAAAAGTTTGCTCAAGGTGAATTCCTCCTTGCTCAGATGATAAGTCATCTTGAACTGATCATAGCAGGGAGGTAAAGAGTGCAAGACTATGTCTATAGTCAGCTCTTCATCAAAGTTGACATTCAACTTGAGCAAACGATCCACATACATCTGCATCCTTTGCAGGTGGGTCGTGATGGACTCTCTATCCTTCATCTTGGTTGTTATGAATGAGGCGACTATTTCAAACCTCTCTTGACGTGCTCTTTGATGGTACTTTTCCATCAAGTCCTGGCACATCTCGTAAGGCCAAAAGTTCTCATAGAACCGCTGCAGCTCAAGAGTCATAGTGGCCACCATAATGCATGACACCTTGGTCGCTTCCTTGCATTTGGCCATATACTCAGCCATTTCTTTGGGAGTAGCAGTGGCTTCATCTATCTCGACGACTTCCTTGTCGAGAATATGTTCCTTATCCTCGTATCGTAAGGCCATTCTGAAATTTCTGATCCAATCATTGAAATAGGATCCATCAAATGTGACCCTCCCATAAATGTTCAGGAACGGGAGTGGGTTCGAGGAGTTGTTGTTGTTGGAGATTGAGCCAGAAGCGTTGTTTGGGCCAAACATTTGAAAGAAGAAAGACAAGTTTTTGATTAGATACGGAATCCTTAATATAACACCCAAATGAAATATTAAGGCTAGGACCCAACACAATAATCCACAATTAATAAAAGGGATGCCGTAATCCAGTTGTAAATTATTTGAAGGTAGGTAAATGACGATTTACCAATTCCACCACGAAAAACAAAATTTAAATAAATTAGGTTTTATTAAAAGAAATTCTTAGATCTTTTGAGATTCATTGAACTATTTAATGGCATGTTTAATCTCGATTACGCCCTTCAATTTTGTGACTGGGATACCGAGGATCACAAACAAGGTGTGAATAACCATGCAAATTAGCTTGGTACTCTCGATGTCATTTACCATCTAATCAATGTGCTGGTTAACCACACACGCTCCATTGATCAATGAAAATTTACAAGCTACCCATTGCCACCTTTTGTTAGTCCAAGTTAGTGTGCCGGTTAACCCCACACGCTCCACTAACGACTGGACAAAGTGCAAGGTGTAATTTCATGGATTAACATCAAATTCACATTTTCCTAAAGTAACTAAGATTGAGAATTTATAAAAACATTTAGTTACTTTATATTTATCATTATACTTATTAATGAGAGAATTAATGTCATATCCTACCCATTCGGCTAACGACCCTCCACTAGTCAAGAATGTGGTGGGTAAGAATGGATACCCAATGACAATCATTTTATAGGCCGCTTCCTTAAACACCCCTTATAGACCAGCTTCGTGAATGATGCCTACTAACGGTAAGACTGACTTTTCTTATACATATATATATATATATATATATATATATATATATATATATATAGAGAGAGAGAGAGAGAGAGAGAGAGAGGTAGGTTCAAATATTTCTCACATCTATTGTGTGCTAGAATGCACCAATATGAATTTAGTATTAATTATATGTATATTAAATGCTATCCATACTTATAACTCATTTTTATGGAAATTAATTAAATTCATCATTAATGTCAACATAATATTCTTTCAGAATGAATTCATATCTACAAGAATGAGAGTGTATTCCAGCAGAATGAGAGTGTATTCTAGTAGATAAGGGGGTCTTTATATAGCTGAGGCTGCTAGGGTTTTCAGGTGGAAACCTTAATTTCCTTGCTTAGGCCTTAAGTAGTCCATGGACCTCCACAACAGAATCCTTGGACGAAATTCTATAGGGCCTCCTATAGATTTCGTCCACTCCCTTCTAAAGGAGTCCATCAGCCCAACTTTGCAACTATCATTGATTTGCAAAACCAGTCCTCGTACTTTCGAGCAGTTCCTTTAACCCCAAAATTAATATCAAATTAATTTCTGATTAAACACTAATTGAATAATATGATTTCTAATTAATATATTATTCATATAATATATTAATAAATCATGTATTAACCTCTTTCTCCAAAAGTCATCCTGTCAAGTTGCTATGGTGAAGGTAACCCAAAAGGACAATGCTACTATCAAATCAAGTACATACCAATTATAGTTATGGGCTTAGACACCTAATCCAACATGTTCTTGGGACCACTACAAAGTCCTTGTCTTTAACCCAGAAGTGGAAAACCATGGGAAAGTTCTTTTTTGTTGTTTTAGTGCTTGCCCACTTGGATAATTGACTGGAAAACCTGAAAAACCCCTAATGAGTTAAGTCACGCAAAAAGTACTGACTGAAATGCCCACACCACCCCTTCAGGGTTACCTAAAACAAATAACTAAAATACCCCTAATGGGTTACCTGCTTTAAATGACTATCTCAAATGACTAAACTAATTCTACTTCTATAAATACTTGAAATGCCTAAACTATCCCTAACTTTTTAACTATTTCTAATGTCTAAACTAACATTACTGCCCTATGTATCTTAAATGACTAAACTACCCCTACCTATTTAAATATTTGTAATGACTAAAGTACCCTATACACACTAATATAAAAAACATAATACAAAATGTAATTACATACACGAATCCAAATATCAAATCTTAAGATTAGTATAACATAGATTAACATAAGAAACATAAATTCCCTTGTTCCCGTCACAATAATATCATTACTTAATCAACATAACAGACATATAATTAAAACTATAATTAATCCAAGTCCATTGGCGATCCAACACTACTACCTTCACCTTCAACCTTTTTAGCAAGTTTAAGTTTAAGAATTCTCTCAGACTTTTTCCTCTTGCTTGGTTGACCTCTACTATACACATGCCCAACAACTTCATTAACCCTTCCTAGTTCCTCATCTTCATTAACCCTCGCCACTTCCTCAACCTCATTAACCCTCACCACTTCCTCAGATTCATTTACCCTCACAACTTCCTCAGCTTGTGGCCCAACTGCATCACCCATAACGTCATCTTCCCCACCCCTTTCATATTAACCAACTCTTGTGTTTGCATAACCTTTGGTTGCTTTGTGACATTAGTTTTAGGAGGCCTTAACACTTGAGTGTAAGTGGTCTTGTTACGTCCTTTCTATTTGCATATGCCATAAGAAACCTTTTTCTTTGCCTTTGAAACCATGTGTTTTCTAGACATTTCAGAAGCATCCCAAATTCTTTTCATGGTTGGCCTACTTGGCATTCTTCTTTTCAATGGAGGCAATGGGAGTATATAGTCTGTAGAATGCCACATGTTCATTCCATTCATGCAATTCACGGATTGTTTGTAGGTATTATGGAAAAAGGCTCCTAGGTACAATGGGTCTACATATGGTCCATCAGGTGTAACGTTTAAATATGCTAATGTAGTTACTGAATGAATGCAACCATAAGTATTTAGTTGCCATAACCTACAACTGCATTCCTTTCTGTCACATCAACAATGTATGACTCATCCATTTTTCTTGTTTTAAACTTCATACCCCCACAAGACGCAACCTGCCAATGCATACATAATGTAATGTAAATATTTAGATTTGAGAAAGATAAGGTATGTATGAATAAATAAGTTTACAAACCTTTGCTCAGTTTGGAGAATATTCAATCTTGTTCAGATATTTGAACAAGCAGAGTAATGATTCCATCCTTGACCTGTTAGTTTCATAATCATCATCCTTTGCATCACGTATATACGAATTTCCTCTAAAATGCTGATAATAGATTGCTTCTTAGCATCCAAAATAACACTATTAAAGCTCTTTGAAAAGCCATTCTCCACAGACTCACAAGATGAATTGTGAACTCTGAAAAAATCTAAAGACCAAGTCTTTGGATCTCTATCCATAACATGCATAACGGCTTCAAGATTCAACTTTTCAATCTTTTTCATGACTATGTTAAAATGTGATTCAATTGTTGCCTTGCTTGCTCTCCAAAACAAATTTTCAAACTTGGCTCCACTAAACTTCTTTCTAAAAATTAGCATATATATATATATATATATATATATATATATATATATATATATATATATATATATGCCTAGCACACTGCCAATGTTCTGCTGATGGGAATACTTCTTTGACTGCCTCAACCAAACCCTTCATATGTAATAGGAAGGAAGGGAGTTAGAAATGTAAATATTAATTATACTATGTTTAAGATTTATAAAACATACATTGTGTTGATCAGAAATAAAAACCAAACCACTTCCTTTATTCCAACACTGCAAATCTTCTGAAAGATTTTCAATGAACCATTTCCAATTCTCCATGTTTTCCTCACATACAACCACCCAAGCAATTGAGAATATTCCATTGTTACCATCCCTACCAACAACACAAAGCAACTTACCTTGGCAAAATCTTTTTAGGAAACAACCTTCCAAGTTAATGATCCTTCTACACTATCCCCTCCATCCCTCTTTGATTGCAGTAAAGCATATGTAAATCTTGCTGAAGTAATTCTTACCATCAGGCATTGCATCCACATATATTTTAACAGTGGATCTAGGATTTGATCTTTTAATGTCCTCACCATATGACTCGATTCTAGCATAATTTTCTGCAACTGTGCCTTCAGCTAGAGTTAATGCATACTTCTTTGCTCTCCAACACTAACTCATACTCACATCAATGCCAAAAGTGGTTTTCACCTCCTCTCTAAGAAATCTAACACTCATCTTGTAACACCGTAAATTTTCAAACAAAATTTTCATTTTAAAATCACATGAATCTCATCAACACATTTCACAAATCCCCAAAATATCAATTTATAAAAAACACATATTCTTAATTGTTTAAACATAATCCAGGATCCTCAAACATAACTCCGTCTCATGTGTATAATCAAGCCGGCGCCTTCCCGTGATCCTGAGAAGTACCTGAAACACATAACACATAACACGGTAAGCACGGAGCTTAGTGAGTTCCCCAAAATACCACACATAACTCATTAGCCTCTCATGCCTAAATCTCAAATAAGACCCTCTGGTTGGTGTGTCTCAGTGGAACCCTCCGGTCCCACAACTCGGTGGACCCTCCAGTCCTAACTCAGTAAAGTTAAGCATAATACACATCATAGATCACAAAGACATAATGCAGGATATCACAATACTCAATATAAACATACAAGACCCTCCGGTCACACAAAGTTACCACTCATGGTAAGTATAGTGAGAAGACTCACCTCGTAAGCAAGCAAATAAATCTCGTACACGAACCATTGGTCTAGCCTCCGCCCAACACATACGATAATTATCTCTAATTAATAAACGACCCTCAAAGAAGCTAGGCTAAACCCTCTATAAACTCACAGAAGGATAAAAGACCATTTTACCCTTTCATAGCCTCTATAGTCCATAATTTGACCAAACCCTAAAAGTCAACAAAAGTCAACCGCAGCGCGTACGCTAGGCGTACTGCCTCGCCATGTATACATCGGGGATCCTCAACCCTACGCTGCGCGTGTTGGGATTCCGCTCAGCGTACATCCTAGACTTGTTCTTCCCACTCTCTTGGTCTTAATCCGTTAAGACCATAGCTCTACTCTCAGATCTGGACTCCCTAAAGGCTCATACTCCATAAAGTTCGTGACTTTAAGCCTTTGCATGGCTGAGAAAGTCCCAAACCCAAAAACTCTGACTCTTTTCTCCCAAAAATGCTCATATCTCATGCATGGGGTGGTTTTGACGTCCAAGACTCCATTTTTATGAATCCACTCCATTAAAAACACTCAAAGGGACAAATATTAGGCTCTGGATTTCAACAACTCAAAAAGCTTCAAGCTTTGGGACCAAAAACCCTAAAATGGACCATATTATGCACAAATCAAAAAGGATGAGAAAGCTTTGAGCTTTATACCTTCAACTGATGCTCCAACCACATAAAAGCTCAGATCCAAAGCCTGGACTCCAACTCTATTCTCTTCAATGCTCCTTCTTCACTCCAAGGATACCACAAGAACACTAAGAAGCTCACAAATGGACACTCAAGCTCAAGGGATGAAAATTAGGGTTTTGAGAGGGTTGAGGGCTGGGATGGTGGCCAGAAATGAGGCCATCATGTTCCTTAAATAGGGACACACCCCACCACTAGGGTTTTCACTCTCAGCCTAGTACGCCCACCGTACCCTCTGGTACGCCCACCGTACTAGGTGGCTTCCGCATCTAAATCACGCACATGAGTACGCTGAGCGTACACACGCATACGCCCCGCGTACTCAGCTACCACCTTTTCTCAAATGAAGGGCCAAACATGACAATTACAATAAAACAAGGGTTTATAAGTTATACCTGGTCTTGGGATGTTACACATCTTTTGATTGTTAAAAAATTGTTGAGTAAAGTGGGTATTTGTCCATTTATAAGTGATAATTGATCCGAATTTGAAATTATTTGCACAATTATTGTCATTAATAAGAGACTTTGATCTGGAAAGACTTATCATCACTCATCCATGAACCCCAAACCCTAAATGTACATTTTCCATCACAACATTTTTCTAGCAACCATCTATTATCATTTTTCACAAAACATAATTGATAACCATTTTCAACAACATAGTTATAGAGCACGTGTTTCAATTGTTTAGGACTCTCAAACCTCATACCTAACATAGGTTCCTGCTCCTTCCAGAGTAGCTTTTCGTAGAAAATATTTGGCAACTCAGGATAAACATCTTCATTGTCATCCATGTCTTCTTCCAAAGGCTCACACATACCTGCATTCTCACCCATGTCGACATCAGGCCCATTATCCTTTTTGAAAAAATGAGGGCTGCCATGGTCATCCTCATCGGCATCAACATCCTCATCCTCAGCCCCATGGTCATCCTCATCCTCATCCACATGCCTTGTCTCAACTTCCTTAATTAGTCTTGCACCATCGATCACTTATTCCTCTATGTTATCAACAACCTCTTCTTTGTGTTCATCCAACCATTCCTGCATGTTACTATTTCCAAAATGGTCTACATACTTAAGGAGTATAACACGACATTTATAAGCAATTGCTATAAAATCGGCATAATCCATCTCATTAGTAGTTAAGGTCAAGCCTTTTGGAAAATCAATATATGGTTGGCAGTAACAGAGCTTCTCAGACCTTTCTCCAGTGAACATTTCAATAAACTCATAACACCCGTTCTTGTCCACGCCTGCGAAATCGATGTCCGACAACCTCTGAGTAATCTCGCCGGTATAGCGTATGGGGTATTTGGCGAAGATTCCTTGGAAGTGCACATCGACTTGGATGAATACAGGATCCATGTTTGAGGTTTGAGGAGACAATTGCAAGTAAGGGTTTATCAAAATAGATGGAAGTGGTGAACCGTCGAGGGCAAAAGATCTCGTTTAAAATTCGTAAAGCTATGTAATGAACAGTGAGGGAACAAATTATTATGTGGCATTATTTAATGACATGGAAATGGACAAACTACACACCAACACACTATGTGGTTTAAGTAAAACAGGTGGCCTAAATATGACCGGCTGACACCTTCATAAATAAAATAATGACATAATCGACCCGACAAAATATAGTTTGTTCTCTTATAAAGCCACTTAAAAGGTTAAGTGACTAAAATGTTCAACCCTAGAAAGTTCATAGGGCGTATGTGTCATTTTCCCTTTGTTATAATAAAGAAAAGTTTTCTTAAAGCTACTAAAAATAAAGAAAATTACAAAAATGACCACTTTTGCTAATCACTTTGCAGAAAATAACAAAAAAAAAAAAACCAAGATTACAATTTTAGCCACTAAAACCACAGATGGATTAAGGTCATCCGCAATTTCTTGTCCTTACATGCGAACATACAAGCATGTAAAGCATGGACATACATCAGGATGTTTACGTTCGCAAATGGAAAGGTCCATCTGCGAACCTGACATTCCATCTGTGATTTCAGCTTTATCCCCTGTAAATACCTTTTTTAACACTTATTTTTCAAGCTTTTTGTTGGAGGAAACCTCTGGGGGAGCTATCAACATATAATAATGTTAATAAATTTATTAAAATCACCAATAAAAAAAGTTGTTAAAATTTAATAGAAAGTACGTATAGATTTTATCATTTATTATGTCGATTTTAAAACTGATGTTACGATTAAATATATTTATTAATTACAATCTATTGAAAATAAGATCAAATATTTCGTATTTTTATATTTCTATCCTTTAAAATAAACTTTTATTAATTTATAACAAAAAAAAATATGGTTTGGTGTTTATAATATCTTTTGTTGCATTTAAAACGTCTTCGATCGAAACTCTGATTTTCTGGGTATTTATTTCGTGGGTGAAAATATAATCAAACTCTTTTATTTTTCGTTAACGCCATTTTTTCGATTTCGGACCTTTTTAAACAAGTGACTAACCTAATAAATGATAAAATCTATAAATTTTAACAAGTTCTTTTTAATGGTTTTAATTTATTAAAGTTATTATATATCCATAGCTCCCATAAAAAGAGTTTTTCCAAACAAAAAACTTGAAAAATGAGTGTTAAAAAAAGGTATTTATAGGAACGATAAATGTGAAATCGTTGATGGAATGTCAGGTTCGCAGATGGACCATTCCATCTGCAAACATACAACACCCTGATGCACGTCCATGCTTTACATACTTGTACGTTCGCAGGTAAAAAGGAGAAATTGCGGATGACCCTAATCTATCTGCGATTTTAGTGGCTAAAATTGTAATCTTGATTTTTTTTTTTTGCTACTTTTTGCAAAGTGATTAGCAAAAATGGTTATTTTTGTAATTTTCTCTTTAAAATAAATTTTGAATAATAAGAATTTTGTTCTAAAAAAAACTTTAGTCTCATATTCTCAGAACAAAGTTTTTTTTTTTATTTTTTTTTTAGTTTTGTTAATTTGATCTTATTTTTAAAAACTCGTTACCAAATACACTCCGATTCAAAAAGTCATGCTAACTTGAATTGATCATGAAAATACTTATCTAACAATTGGATATGAACATATAGATATTATAAATATGTGACAATGAGGATTTTAATTCATGATAATATCCAAGATATTATAATCTATAATGGTTGAACCAAATATAGAGTTAATTGCTTCATGGTCCATTAAAAAAACTTTAGTATATAGATATGTAAACAGAAGGATTATCGGGAATCATTCAACATTCAAAAGGAAGGTTAGATAAGAATTAGATAATTATTGTATTATTTAATTATTATGTTGTATATCAATCGTTCCTATATTTCTGGATCTGATTTTGTAATCTTTTATATATATATATATATATATATATATATATATATATATATATATATATATATATATATATATATATATATATATATATATAAAAGAGGGTTCAATTGAGAAAAAAAAAAGGTTGAGAATGGGGGAATCATTCTCAGCCACACATTTATTTTGCCGCAAAACACTTAGGTGTAACGTCGGAAATGGATAACGGATAAACATGTGTTTTCCAACCAAACATCTTTCTTTAAACTATGTTAATCATTACCTTAATATACACAAAAACATATTTTTTTTTTTTCGTTTTTTTTATTTTAGAAAACCATTATTATCGAAAAATTATTTTAAATATATCAAAATTCATAATTTTTTATTCTCTATAAATAGACATCCATATTGATATACTTTTAGATAAAATAAAATAAAATTTTATTTTTTTAGAGTTTCAGCTCTCGTTATTCATAAGTGAATAAAAAAATCTATCAGATTTTTATTACAGTATATTCGTTATTCACTTATGAATAAAACGTATGCGTAACTTTTTTTATAGTTTAAGTATCGTTTATATATGAATATGACACGCAATAAAGTTTTCTTACTTAAAATATATTTTTTACATCATCTTTCATCATATATTATATTTATATATGAATAAAACGTGTATTAGTTGTCGTCATATTTTATATTCATATATGAATAAAACATTTATCAGATTGTTGTTACAGTTAATTTGTTATTCATATATGAATAAGTAGTATAAATAATACTTAAACTGTAAAAAAAATTAATTATATATTTTTATTCATAAGTGAATAACGAATGTACTGTAGCAAAAATCTGATGCATTTTTATTCACTTATGAATAACGATAGCTAAAAATATAAAAAAAAATAAATTTTTTATTTTATCTTAAAAGTATATCAATATGGATGTCTATTTGTAGAGAATAAAAAATCATAAATTTTGGTATATTTAAAATAATTTTTCGATATAAATAGCTTCTTAAAAATTAAAAAAACAAAAAAAAAACTATGTTTTTGTATATATTAAGGTAATGATTAGCATAGTTTAAGGAAACATGTTTTGTTGGAAACACATGTGTATTCCTTATCCATTTCCGCTGGTACAACAAAGACTTTTGCGGCAAAAATAAATGAGTGGCTGAGAACGATTCCCCAATTCTCAACCTTTTTTATTTTCTCAATTGAACTTACCTCTCTCTCTCTCTCTCTCTCTCTATATATATATATATATATATATATATATATATATATATATATATATATATATATCTATATATATATATATCTATATATATATGAAATACACTACTGCGGGAGATTTAAGCCAAATACTTCCTGTTTTCAACGTGGTATCAGAGACATAACGCTCCCTAGGGTTCTTCCAAAATTTCCGATTTTTTGAATCCCTCATTCTTTCCCTAGACCATCGATTTCCATGGCTTCCACACATATCAATTCCTCCAAAATTGCTACTGCTGTCACTTGTAAGCTAACTCGCACAAATTTCTTGTTGTGGAAAGCACAGGTGGTTCCCATACTTCGAGGTGTTAAACTGTTTGGCTACCTTGATGGAACCAACGCCAAACTAGCAGAAAAGATATCAGTGGGAACAGGAGATGCAGCAAGGCAAAACGACAATCCTGAATATGAGACCTGGGTCACTCAAGATCAAGCAATACTCGGCGGTTTGCTATCCTCTATGACTGAGGACGTTCTGTCCCAACTCACCCGCTACACAGATACCTCTCACCAACTTTGGACCTCTCTCCATACGATGTTTTCGGCTCAACACAGAGGTAATTCTATTCAGATTCGTACGCAACTCTCTAATACGAAAAAGGGTGACATGAGTGCGTCAGAGTATTATCAGAAGATAACTACACTAGCCGACACTATGGCTAATATTGGTCATCCCATGAGTGATGAAGAGGTCATTGGCTACATCTTAGCCGGCCTAGGTCCAGGGCACGGTGATCTCTTTACAGCCATCACAGTCTTAAGCAACAATCAAGAGGTAAAACTTTCAGAATTTTACTCTTACCTCATAGCCCATGAAGCACAAACAGTGGTGATGAATGGCCCAACAGACTTTGTATCTTCTGCCAATACGGTTACTAAACAGGAGACGAACACCTCTAATCCTCGAAAAACCCAAACCAACAATGGGTATAATTTCTCAAACAACAACCAGCGTACTTACCGCAACAGCGGAAATCGAGGCCGAGGGCGTGGCAAAGGAAGGCAGTACGGTGGTGGTCCACGGTGTCAAGTCTATGGAATACCCGGACACACAGCTTTGAACTGTAGAAACCGGTTCAACCATGCTTATCAATCGGAGGAGTACCGAGGCGAAAACAGTGCTAAATTTGGAAACTACAACAATGACCCGAATTGGTATCTTGATACCGGAGCTACCGATCACCTCACAAGTGATCTTGATCGATTGTCTATACCTGAACGCTACCATGGAAAAGACCAAGTCCAAGTAGCCAATGGCACAGGTTTGCATATTTCTCATGTTGGTCATTCTAAAGTTCCAAGTCTAGGCAGACCACTTGTTCTTAAAAATATCCTACATGTTCCACATATCAACAAACATCTTCTTTCTGCTGATAGACTTGTTACTGATAATCATGTGTTTATTGAACTTTACCCCAATGTTTTCTTTGTTAAGGACATTCACACGAAGAAAACACTTCTAATCGGTAAAAGCAAACATGGTCTGTTCCCGGTGCCAATCCGTCATTCTTCACGGTATGCTGGATCAAGCACCAAAGTTTCAACATCTCAATGGCATCAGCGTCTTGGTCATCCCTCTTCAACAATTGTCAAGTCTATTTTGAAGTCAAACAACGTAGATTTTTCATTTAATAATGAGTCTTTAGTTTGTGATGCATGTCAACGTGCAAAGAGTCATCAACTTCCTTATAATAATTATGTTCGTGTCACCTCCTCACCGCTTGAGCTCATTCACACGGATGTTTGGGGACCAGCTCAAGTGTCTAGTGGGAGTTTT